GTGTGTGTGTGTGTGTGTGAATGACTGAATGTAGTGTAAAGAGCTTTGGTTTTCCTCTGGACTTGATAAAGTGCTATACAAATACAGTCCATTTAGGATAATATTTACTTTAGTTTCTATTATTTTTTAAATGTGACCAGGATTACATCGATTGTTTGAAGAGTCACTGGTTGAATACTTTATTAGGACTTATCTGAAGCGCAAAAAATTGTGATTGTTGGTTTTATTGCCTTTTTTCTTTTCTTTTTTTTTTAAAGAATATTGTTGGTGTCTACGTTTTGTGAAGAATTGTCTTATTTTGTTTTCAAATTTCCTGTCAACTTCTAACATTTTTTATAACAAAAACACGGTGGGCCGCGAGGGGACTGCCCAACCATCAATACTACTTTTTATTTATCCAGACCTAGAATGTAAATGAATAATAAATGAGACCTCACCTGTTCTGATAAAGATGAATGCAGTGTAAGCTCCAAACACTGCTGTGTAGGAGAACTGAAACACTGCAGCAAACCAGAAATGCAAACATGTCATCAGAAGATTATTCTTCATGTTTAGTGATGCCAACAATAATCAGCATGAAAGAGGTCACCTCTCACCTGCTGAGAAGAAAATTCCTGACACCGTGCCCTGTCTGAACCTCAGCAGCTCTATGACATGATGAAAATGAGCTGAAATAGAGAACAGTTACAACTGTAGCAAAAAATACAGAATTTATGATTAATAACAGAGACACCAGCTGGCGGGTCTAAAATGTACAAAATACAGCAGCCAACTGCTGAGAGATAAACTCTTCTGGACAATCAGTCAACTTGTCTATTCTACAGAGATGACCTGAGGAAATACAAAGAGCAGTTTTCACATGTTGATTTCATTTATAAATGGTAAAAAAAAAACTAAACTAATTTGGTCTTGTAGGAAAATGTAATTCAGTGGTGTCAGCCTGTTTAGCCAAGGCAGGTTTGCCTACAGAGAAGCAAACAGTTGGAAATTCAAAGAGCCTTAAATTTTAAACTCAAAAAGTAAATAGGATTTAATAATTTGCCTTACAACGGTCTTAATATGCAAAACACCTAAAAGCATTGCGTAGATGCAAATAAAAACATTAGGTCCGACAGTAAATTTAAAATTCAAACCTGATTTCACAGAACAAACTGTTTCTACATGTCTCATGTTTTCAGGCAGTTGGTTCCTGAGCTGAGGAGTTAAATGCTGCCTCACCTTATTTAGTTCTGGTACTGAGAACATGGACTAAGCAGGAATCTGAAGACTTCACTCTGTCATTAAGTGCTTTACAGATCAGAAGAAGAATATTAAAATCTATAATTTGACTATGATTATGCATTGACACACAGATATAAAGTTTCATCTCATCAGAGATGTTTAACCAGCAGCCTGAGAATCGACCTTTAGTAATGTCACACCCAGACTTACTAATTACCAAATGACACACAGTAGTCCCTGCTGCCCGTTTAAGACCTGAATCAGAGTCCTAAACAATCCCACCTGTTTCCTCAGTATATTATGATCAACTGTGTTAAATAAAGCACTTAGATAATGGAATATCAACAGACAAATTCTAGAACTATTGTTAAAATGTACATCATTTAAAACTTTTACCATGTACCCAGCTAGATAGATAGCTTTGTTTTTGCATTCATATAAAAGACATACATACACAAAAATGAATAAACATGCAACATTATCAGCAAAGAAGTTAAGTCTCAGTAATTTATGATGCAATTTTACTGTTTCATGATTTATTCACTTGAGCGTGCTGCATAGTGAGAATGACATTTCTTTGTGAAAAAAGATTTGTGTGTTGTGTGTGATTCCCCCTCTTGCTTGCCCAGAATTTGATGCTGAGTTTTACTCACCCACTCCAAAAAAAAGAGGGCAGGTGAAGATGGCAGTGGAAGGACCGGCACACGGCACCAGCATGGGCAACATGCAGGCTCTGAACACCAACTCTTCAGTCAGTGGTGCCACCACCTGATTCCTCAACCAGCGCATGTCACTGAGGCACAGCGTCCAGAAGCACGGGTCTTTAACGAGAGGCAAACAAGAAGTGAAAGCTCTGCTGCTGTAAAGTCGATGCAAAATGTTTTTCTTCAGAAATAAAATTCATTTGTAAATTTATTTACAACTGATATAAATTTCAGCCAAAATCAACAGCCCTTCCTGTTATTAGTCACTGGTCAAGAGACAAAAAATTGTTTGGGGTTTTACATCTGTTTTAGGGTCATGTTGATGAGCTGACTCCTAAAATCACATTGGTTTTGCTCAATCAGGTCAACTTTCTGAACTATGGAGCAACATGAGCATCAAAATGCAGGACTTGTTCTCACATCTGGAGAATCTGATCAATGAGTGATGAGCAGGAGGAGAGATTCCATCAGGACAGGGAAGAGACGGAGAATTTTACAATGAAGACGTGATGTTCAAGTCACATGTAGTTACCCTGATCAGTGTTTATTATTCAATTTACAGAAATCCATGGTTGTAACATTTTTAATCAATATAGTCTGTTAGAAAACATTTTTTTTTCTCCTAAAACCTTTTTTGGAAGAGAAATATTAATGGAAATGAACTGATGATGTCACAAAAATGTCATCAATTTAGTCATAAGATCAGATTTCTCTAAATGAAATTAGAATAAAAACCTGACCTGATTGGGAAACATGGATGTCATTTTTGAATTCAGTGATGCAAAATAGTCATAATTCAATTGAAAAACACATAAATAACTTCCAGGAAATATTTTTCTGTAATCCAGTGTTATTAGTATTGGGAGCAGATGTGATGTCACCGTTTACTGCAACACAACCATCATGGTGCAAAGAAATAGCTCTCTATATTTTCTATCAGGGCAGCCATATAACCCCACATAGAGAATGTAGAAAACTATTTCATATTTTAGTCACTGCACTGTAGGGAATTTATCTAACTAAATATCTAACTCAATATTAAAACTATTTCTTATGTAAGAGATTATGATTTTATGAGACCCAGAGTGGTATTCATCTAAAATGTTTTCTCATTCCAGTAAACAGACAAAAAACAAAAACACCTTTTCTTGTTCAAAGTGAAAGATAATTTAGCTGTAACTATTTGACTAAAGGGAATCTGAGCTTGTTTTTATCCCCCAACCACAGAATGTTTAAAATGGGAAGAGACTGAACATGTTTGGAGCAATACATTAATAATATCCACTAAGAAGAGACAGTCATTATGTTATTAAATGATACAAATATCCAGAAAATAAAACATTATAATTAAAGTATGAAGTGCAGCCATATTTATAAAGAATGTGGATAAAAAAATTGGCAACAGATAACTGGGATGTTCAACATGTAACATGAATGCAAAAAACAGAGCAGGTGCTAATGTTTCAGAAACAAAGAGGCAGTTAGGTTGACATGGGATTCAACCAAACTCTTTAATGTGTGTCAATGCAGGCAGACAAACTAAAGTTTAAAATGAAATGCTTGTTTATACAGAAAAACAAAAAGAAAGCTTCTGGACTCACCAAGCACCACACGAACACCGTCTGTGAAGCTCCAGGGACTGTCCATGGACAGCTGCATTAGTGGGCCCAGAAACAGGACCTGCAGGAAAACACAGCATCAGTTCAGCTTTATACATAAAACACCAGATTCACATTTGGACAGTTTCTCCCTCCCACTGACTGAACCTTAGGAGCTGAAATAGGTTTAGGCTAAAGGAAAAACTCCTTCAGTGTTGGTGAAAAGCAAACATCACAATCACACAGTAAATTATTACCAAAAGTAAGTACACCCTCACGCATTTTATACATCTTTTCATGAGATACGACACTTTGATACAAATTTAACAGTGTAAATTTGCTATCTCCTCAACACACAGATAATAATATATAAGCGGGTGGCAACAAAAGTGAGTACACCCTTCAGATTGAAATCAATTAGTCCTGAAACTAATAATGAAATAATATTGTATGTGGTGGATAAACAACCACCAGAAACAAACCCCTAAAACATTAAATGCCCCTATTACATGTTTCTACAGTCTAACTAGCTCAAGCTGTAAGAACTATTTCCCTTCTGTGATTATTAGGATTCGACTTCAGCATTTTCTCCAGAATGTATTTAGAGTTGATGATTTCTTACCATAGTCAGCAGCAGAGGAAGAACAATCGCAGGAATAAAACCTTCAAGACGAATCCCCAAGAGGGCCAGCAATGGTGAGACAGTCTGAGAAAAACACACATCAAAGGTACAGTAAGGATAAAAACAGTATTTACTTAGACATGTGCCACTTTTGCCTCATCAGCTGACCATTAAGGCAAAGAAGATAGGCAAACTCATTCAAAACAAAATATTTCAAATCAGTCACACATCAGGGGCCTCATTCATAAAGCCTGTGTGCGGACAAAAAATGTGTGCCGCCATATTTTACGCACAAGTCAGCATGTATAAAAATGTACTTTGCATCAATGTTTGCGTAAATATACGCACACTTTTTCGTTGGCGAGAAAATGTGTGACAGGCACGCAAACTTTTTATGTGGACGATATCAAACTACAAAGCGTCAAAACTCACCTAAATACACTGAAGTCTGGCCATATTCAGTGTTTTTTAGACCAAGAAGCATCAAACCCAATGTTTTTTTTATGATTTTAATATTTTGTTGTTTAAACGTAAACGATGAAACTGAACCACATTTTTCCTCATACAATAAGCAAACACGCACACAAAATAAGGAAAATTGATCATATTGATCTCCTGGGAAATGTTGATGATGGTTTATTAGGGTTTAGATTAATCCAGACTGATCATCCTGGATGTCTGAGCAAAACTGAAAGAGCCATGCGGTACCGATACCGGTCCAGCTGCGGTCATCCTTCAGTTGAGCCATGCCTGCTTTGTGAATGCACCTTTATGGACAGAAAGCATCTCTATTCTGTAAATATACAACTTCTGCACATGATTCCACTACTTTGAATAAATGTCCACATTCCCACTCAAAGGACTCTCTGACAGGCTGTCAGCACTACTGTTCACACAGGCATTTGCATCTCTTTATTTATTTTTTTTTCTCTTTAAAATGTATTATTTTTATTTTTGTGAGGTTACCTCATGTGCCCCGACAGCTCCTTTTAAATAAAATGTATAGTTATTATTATTATAAATATTTATACTGCTACAAACAAGGATGTTGCCATGGTTATTGCTTCATGTTGTGGCAGACGTCCAGGTATTTATACTAATTTACATACGTATTTATGGGACCAGCAGCTGCAAGGAAAGCTGCGCAGTCACGTGCCTTGCGCATGGCTTTATACAACCAAATTTTTTGTGGGCCGCACTTATCAACATTTTTCAATACGCCAAGTTTTAGTGTGAAAACAGCACAATCTTTTATGCATGAGGCCCCAGGTAAGTAATGACTGAATGGCACACATCTTAGCTATGTTTTGATCATGTATGTCAGGCTGCATAGGAATACCTGTTCCACATGCCTGAAAAGTTACTGCTTTACAACAAACTGCACCCCTTTGTAGCCACAGCTCACATTTATTGGTTTGGGCCCAGTTTGATGCATCAATCTTTAATTTAACCATCAAACATATGATGTAATAATGACAAAATATGATGGGATGTTATACACCTCAAGAAATTAAATAAAATCAAGTTTTTTAAATGAAAGAATCATTTTCTTTCGAGGAAATTTATTTATTTATTTGGCACATAAATATATGGATATATTTCAGTATAGTTTATTTCTGTCTGTTCAGCTCTTTGTAAAAGACTGAATCCCTCAAATACACAGTTCATTTGAACAAAGTTTGTTTTAATCTCACCTTGACTGCTGTGAATTCTCTCCATGCCCAAACAAAGAGAGGCGACAGGCCCGACACGATCAGGACGCTGGTGAAGCGCCTCTTTATCACCAAAGGATGATCTCTGAAGACAGAGAACAAATATTAGGATCAAAGTGCACGAGTGAGATTTAGACGCCACAAACACACTGACATGTCATGACATGTTGCTGCCACTTGGGAGCTTTTCTAAGACAGTTAATCTTTGATAGTGGAGGAGATATACCTTGTCTGGTAAGCCGATAGTTTGCTTTGTGACTAAAGAAAAACTGGATCTATGTTAAAACAGTTCAATAAGCTGAAGACAGCAGCTGACAGGATGCAAGTAAATCTATAAACAATCACCTTTAGAAAGCCCCAGTAGCAACAAATCTCCATTTCTAAACTGCTTTAACTTTATTGTCATTTTGTGAAATAGGTGAAAACTATCACAATCTTTCATTTGACACACATTTTCTTTCATATACTCAGTGAAGCGTTTGGAGTCGTAAAATGTGGGTTTAAGTGGTGAGTTAAAATGAACAAGGAAGAGAAACAGAAGAACTACAGTCAGAAATATGGGCTACTTGACAAGGTTTATTGGGATTTTTTTTCAGCTAGAGACAGGATGGATGGAGATAAAGAGGGAAACTGAGAACAAATTATTTTCTGTTTTTCACGTGTTTTATCAACTAGTTTTAATAGATTTTGCATTTACTGTAGAAGAATCCAGATCAGTTGAGCATTCTAGGTATGTTCTGGAGCAACCGTAGCTTAGAGCAGCTAAATACCGCGGAATAGCCTTTAGTCTAATGCTCGTTAAAACTCACCTGGGCAGGTCGCTCCTCCAGACATACAAGCTGCCAACATAGCAGCAGGCAAGCAGTAGACAGGACAACACTGACAGCCAGCACAGTCCACCCGAAGCCTCTTCCATCTGCTCTGTCACAATGCCTTCCTCCTCCGCCATGATGGCTCACACAGGTGAAGAAGGAGCACTAAGCAGAGCCGGGCTGGCTTCTGGACCATCTGGCACGCGCCAACATCAGCACAAATCAGAAGAATCTGTCAAAACTCTATTATACCTGTTAGTTCAACTGCTAGCGATTCGGCGCTTTCTAACTGCGTCATCATCGGCTTCCTTCCTTTTCCTCGGTATGTTGTAGTTTGAGATACCTCTGGGTATGTTATCGCCCCCAACAGGTGGAGATACATATGTAACCCAGGGTTCTAGAAGTTTGTCTTCCAGCCCCTATGCAGCACTCTTAATGTGAATCAAAATGGTTTAGAGATTAATTCTATAAATTAGAATTTTATTGAAAATTCCATTCATTTCAGGAACTTTATCACTGTGAAAGTGATAATGGAAACATATTACATAGATTAACTACACACAGACCGGCTTCCACAGCCTT